GATTGAAGGTTGACCCGCTCAATCCAGCCACCTGCTGTCCCGAGAATAGCGAAATTGCCACAGGCACTAATTGCACAAGCCTATCAGATTGACAATACATAACACCAATTTAAGTTTGAAAGACAGAAAGTGAAAATTCTAGTATTTCTAAAAGGAGATTTCTATTTACCCCTAAGATACCAAGGGTCCTTGAACCACAACACTGAAAGGATCCACGATTTAGGTTATTGCAAAGAATTGCATGAAATTTGTACATCTATTTGAACATATTTCAAAGATATAATTCAGTTGTATTCTTTAATCTAGGAACTGCCAATGATTCCATCTGTTTCCAAGGAACTCAATTATGTGTGACAGGCAAACAATAGTCCTAGTTAACCCATCGATCGAGGGGTCATTATTCCAAAAACCAGATTGTGACAATTAACAAAGGTACCACACCTATCAAGACAAAAAGCCTAGTTTTCTCTAGGTAATTGCATGTAACAAGTCAGGAGCAAGTAAGACATTCAGTTCCATTTCTAACCTTGACCGGTGTTGGATTTTCAGGGCATGGTTTGAGGATATGCTCTCCAAGAACAAAGTTCTGAAGTCTCCAGACATACGCTGCTGCTGAATCCATGTGGCATGTAACCACATTACACCAATCACGCTCCCTAATTTCAGCTGCATTTTTGTAGATAAAAAAACACATTAAGAGATATCTCAAAGAAAAAAACACAAGTCACAGGAGAATCAACTTTCTTTTCTTCAAGATGCAAGTTAAAAGAGATTATAGCTTCACTAGATATTACAAAGGGCCAAGATAATTTAGAAGGAAATCAACAGAAAAAGTAGTTTACACTTTTTGCCAACCCAAATTAAAGACCATAGATCTGTCTGGAGATTAATTAGTTAAGTGTTCAATAGTTCAAACATCATGTCATTGCAAATATGATTCGAGGATTAGAGAACTATAAAAGAACATCTACAAATAAGTAATAGACCGCAACAGATAATTAAAGTACCACAATCGAATGCAATAACAGGCTTCAATTTCAGCTCTTCCTCCTGCACGGTCCATAAAAAAGAATGAAAGCAAAAGTTATTACGTCCAATTTCCAAAACATCAAATAACACATGTAGCGTTCTATCAAACTTGGAAACAGTGAGAAAAAAAGCAGCTCAATATGCACCAGATGATAAGGTCAACTGACACAAATCCATCCAGAACACGAAATGACCATGAAAAACTTTAGAAATGTCTACCAGGGAAAGCCTCAAGGTATACCTTTAATCGGAGTTTTTTGGCTCGTTTGGATATGTGTCTTTGAGAAAGCTCTCTGCTTTGTTGCTCCTGATAACTCAATTAGTGGAAGTAAACTCAGTCATCATCTTATAAAAACACCTATTGGGGGCCATTCAAAACCATAAGTTGAAAGGCAAGTCTACTTGACACTAAAGAAAAACAATCCAATCATAGACAATAAAACAGTATTATCTGTTTCTGCCCTTAAAAATATGAGAAAGACATGCACCAAGAAAGAATTGGTAGGAAAAGAAAAATGGTAAAGCAAGTAACAAAAATAGTTCTCCACCAAAGTAGCTTTGTCCAAGGTCCAGGGGAAACAGAAAAATATTAATAAGTTGAAAAAAAAAATATACTTTTTAAACGAACCTAATACAAGAGGAAAACTATGATTAATTAATTGCTTTGATCAACTAAAACAACCTATTCATCATTGCATAATTCTAAAATCTTTTGCATTTACCAATTAAAACAAACATACATATGCTCAAGGGGAACCCCTTTCCTATCTTCAGGATTGTGGGGTGGCAAAATCAATAGTTGATCTCTTTAGAATTCGTTCATTGTAGACCAGTAAAAGGCTGTACATGTGATTACTACATATATTTTTGCTATTTGCTTTATCTACATGGGTGCTCATTAGTCCCAACAGAGGAATGTTTCCAAATTTGTCTAACCTGGACGATGGAGAATAGGCGGAAGGCACGATCCTGGCCAGCAGACAAAATGTGTCGCCCGTTGGAGTAAAATCTAGAACAAGGAGAAATCAGAAAATGATTATGAGACACACCCATGACACGCCTTTGTTGAAGTCCACCATAAAAGCACTCTTTAGAAGAACACAATCATTCATCACTTTAGAGATATGAGGAATGGCAGAAATTTATCAACAAGTTGAAATTATAAAAAAAAAATCACCAGATTGAAAGGTATTAGTTAGTTACTCCAATGATGAATAAACAATGTTTCGAAACCAAGAAGCAATCATAAGGTCTATGGGATAATGGAGGAAAACAACTTGAAATATATAATCGAGATCATTTAAAGGTAGGGAAGTCGAAGTTAACTACCTGATACAAAGCGGAGGGGCACTATGCCCACTGCGAAAGCGTAAAAGACGAGGATCACCATCATTGGTGTCAAAAATCCACATCTGTAAAAGTAGGAAACATTAGAAAAACCAAGCACTTGGGCAAGTGGGCACATAAAAAGTTTGGGAGGTAAAAAATATGAGAGGTGTATAATATTACCTTAACTGAGTTATCCGCTGATGCACTCATTAGGACAGGTTCATTTGCAAAAAAGTGCAATGAAATTATTGAACTGTCATGAGCATCCCTAATGACAGACTGAAGCCTCCTTTTCTTCAGATTCCATATACTTATGACACCAAATGAACCCCCTGATGCTAGGAGGGGCTGCCCATCTAACACAACAGAAGAAACAAACATACATAAGAACACAAAACTACACAACTCTCATTAGCTATAAGAGACCAGAATGACCAACAACCAATTGTAATCTTACAAAACAAGGAAATGGCTGGACAATCCACTAGCTTCCTACACTTATGATTGAGCAGACAACATCTGATCTGCTTAATGTATTAATTGTAAAACATGAAATTGTAAAAATAACATGGTATATCGAGCAACTGTTAACTCCAACAAACTGCAATGGTGCGACCCTATTTGATATTATTACACTTGCAGGAAAACAGGAAGTCACAACTGATAAAACTCCAAACTACCCAGAACTAACAGTCAACTGATGATAAAAAGCGCTCCTACATTTGATATAATAGTTACAAGACCTTAGTGTTTACCTGTACTGAAAGACAAAGCAGTGACAGCACCTCTTGAGGAGTGCTCAAATGTGACAACCTCTTCATCCATTTTGATATTATGAACATGAATCTTTCCGTCCGCACAACCAATGGCAACGACATCTAGGGCAGGGGATGAAACACAACTACAGACAGCTGAATTCCATCCCTTAAACTCATACACAATTTTCTTAGTATTTATGTTCCACAGTTGCAGAGAACCCTCTTCGCTCCCTATAAGAACCTATACACACAATTCCAAATAAGAGAAAGATGCGGAGATGATATATGATGACGAACACAAAGAGTATGCAAGTAGAGAAGCTTAAGAAAGGAAACAGGAGAGAAGTTAAAAACAATATAAAAAAAAATCCCATAACAGATATGACAGGGTTATCTTAGAGATCAAGTAGGAGGACTCACCTTGTTTAAATAGGTATCTGGATGAACAATACAACTAGGGGTAAAGTTTGCACCAAGCTTGACATGCCCAATTGGAGCTAGATTTTCTTCAATTCCTTTGAATGCCCATATAAACATATTTCCTTCTACGTCGAGACTAAGGATGTGTTCTCCAAACAACAGTAACAAGTCAACCTTTGCAACATGTCTGCTCCAAGTTGCTACCTGCCAGAAGATCCCAAGAACTCCGACTATGAAAACTGCAAGCCATAGTCAGAATGAAAGACTAACTATTCCTAACCAGGCCAGGGGCTTAAACAAGGCAAGCATTAATGCATTAAGATTTTTCTAGAATTTCGAAAAATCAAAAGCCATGACCTATACTTATCAACACTGCACCCTCCAATGTTGCAGGTGAGACGAAGTCCCAAAACAACAGAAAGTAAATCACAGACGCGATTTTGTTCCGATTAAGTTTCAGGAATCACACAACTAAAAATCCAGCTTTACAAGGGTGTACCTGATGAGCACGCTTGAAGACGGCGATCTCATTTCCAAACGCAGCAAACGTGTAATCACGGAAAGAAGCCAGAGCTCTTATTTTCTTGGGGAGCTGAGGACCTTCAGTACAGATAACAACAAACATGATACCGACAATTGACCTAAATTCAAACGATGAAACAACATCGAACTAAACCATCATCTGAACATCGAACTAAACTTGATCCTAAACGCAGAAAACCTAATGTTAGCATGTGATACTCTAAACAAGTAAATTTAGTACCCTGTTGCATATCATGATTCCGCAATACGAGAAACCCAAAATTCAAAAGCTCAAACCTTTTTTAAAACAAACATTAGATTCCAGAAGAACAAAAACTTACCGATGATGACTAAATTCAGCTTGGCACACTGAAAGCAAACAAAAAAGCAATGAAATTAAACAAAGCAAACCAAAAACACGAAAACCCAAAATAGTTGAAGACAAGAAAAAGCCATCCTTACATTGTATATCTGAAAAGCTTTGCCGACGCTAACAGTCACGAAGGTCTCCGTCCCCAATCGCTGTATGGAGAACGGAACTTTGCTCGTTATATACCCAATAGCTCTAAAGGGTTCGAAAATCCCCATCTTTTTCCTTGATGAAAGCAAGTTTAGGGTTTTAGAAAGAGAAGAAGGAGATGAAAAAAAGGGATACAATTTAGGTTTAGGGATTTAGCTTTAGGGTTTTAGGAAGATATGAGAGAGAGGAGGAGGCTGAGGGGAGACAAACGAAACCTCCTCGAGACAAACCTCTTTTTGTTTTCAACAACAACAACCCTAATTAAAAGTTATTAATCTTATTATTATTATCATCATCATTACGGAAAATTTCCAAAACCTCAAAATGCTTTAGTTTTTTATTTTTGCTTTTTGATTTTTGACTTTTGATTTTTAGATTTTATAAGTTTATAAATTTAAAAAAATTGTAACTTTTGATTTTTAGTTGATTTTATTTTCATAAAATAGATTTCCGGATTTTTTAAAAAATCGAATTTTAAAAAATTTATTATCAGTTTTTTTTTCTTCAGAAAATCTCTTCTCATTTAACACCTTAAATTTTTAAAATACATCCAATTCAAACCATTGTTCTTCATAAAGCCAAAAATCACAATTTTCTGAAAAAAAAAATTATAATCTTTATAAATTTTTCAATTTGTTAACTTTAATTAAAATAGATTTTAAATTTGAGTTTATAATGTCAACACATCTAATTTTCTCTAACTTTCAAATTACATTCTATTTTTTTTTTATAAAAACCTTAAATATGTATTATGAGAAAAACCTAACTATGAATTATTTGAAACCTAGATTTTACATTGATAATCTATACACATAATCTCCCTCATCTACCATTAAAATGTTGGATACAGAGAAGAAAAAAATAACAGTAGGCAAAACCAAAGAATTTGAATGTATAAAAAGTTTGCATTCAATCATTTCAATATTTAAATGTCAAATGTGAAACATATACACAAAATATGAGAAAAAGAGTTGTATTACTTATTAATATACAAAATGTGTTATATCAAAATAGATAAAAAATCATTAACATAATGTTTTGTAACTCTAGTATATAAATAGATACTGACATTTTATATATTTTTTACTTTGTAATTTGGTTAATTTACTATTAATGAACCCAATTTAGATTTTGTTATTAATTAGTTATAATTTTAATTAAACATAACTGAAATGGAAATGCATCGTAATTGTACCGAATAAAATCAACTAATCTTAAATAACCATTTGGTCAATTTTTAAAATCCGAAATAATTAAATCCGAATTAACCGTAATTGATGAATAAATCGAACTGAACCCTACCCACAAGCCTCGAAGAGCTCAACTACACGATGTTTATTAGTTAACTTATCGAACACTGTGTCGTTTTAAATACGAGACCAATAATGGAACAGCGTGTAGTTCATCATTCAGGAAATAAAATAGCAGAGAGAGGGGGAAGCTATCTCTGCATTGAGTTTGCACATTTTTTTTTTTGCCTTAGCAATGGGGGACGCTGCTCTTTGGGAAGAAATCGAACTCTCTGAGAGGTGCTTCTGAGAATTTTTTTTTTGTCTTTCATCTGCTTTTTTCTTTCCCTTAAACCAGCTGATTGCGTTTGCTGCAATACTAAACTTGATTATGCATTTGGGTAGGAGGAAAATTTTGTAGAAATCGCCCAGAATCTTCCATGATTTCTCCGATCCTTTCTTTGTAATTAGTTTCCATGTTGATTTCCGGTTGATGGGTAGAAGGAAAATTGCGATAGCAAATCTCCGTGGTTGGCTGTTTTGATTGAGGAATTTTCCCGAGAAAAAAAAAATACTCAATTCAGTCTCTCGGCTTTATTATCTGTTCTTGAAACGCGAGTAATTATTTTGGGCTTCCTCGAAAATTTCCAGATTCTGCTAAAAAAAAGTACACAACAAGGATGAAGGACTTTCTTTTTACAGGGCACTTAGCTCAGTTGGTTTGGTTTCAGTGTCGATTAAAGATTCTTCTTTGAAGCTTTTAGACAATACACTACAGTGTTTTATTTGCAAGATCACAGGTTTAATGTATAAAAATCTGAGATTTTTGTGTTTCTGTATGTAAAGCTGTTGCTTATGTGTAGGATATTTTCTTCTCTGTATCCAAATGTGCTGAAAACGCATAAGTTATCCTCATTTAGAGCAGGGTATTGTATGTTAAACCTGGAGAAAGGTCTTAGAATTCGAACCAGTGTAAAGTCTTGAGTTTTAGTTTTCTTTTTAATTCTGGAATGAACTTCTTGGAGTGTTGACTTCGATGATCCCTTTGTTTCTTTTGTCTCGACTATGCGTAGCTACCTTGTATGCTCTATGTATGAAGAGGCCGCATCGTCTTCTTCCTCCATTCTTAAACGGATGTATGACAACATTCAAGCGGTATCCAAGGGAGCTATTGTTGAAAGCCAGTTGCATGACATGTTGACGTCTGCTGGCATGGTTTTCGTTCAATCTTTGCATGGACTCGGCAGGTATTCACGAGCATTTCATTTCGGATTTACAGGAGAACGATTTACTTTGTACATATTGTTTCATGGACTACTGTTTAGATGTTGGGAGACACTTTAGAGTTGAGTGTGCTTGTTATAGTTACTGATTTTTTACGACTTGATTATGTGATATCTTTTCACAACAAATTCCATTTTCACGCAGGACAGAGGAGATTGTGAACGAGTTGAGAGATGCGTTTGGTGCTGTTGCAACTATTCCTGCTCAAGTGCTTCTCACTGGGTATAGCTTGTTCTGTTTTTTCCATCTCATATCAGCTTTAATGAATGCAAAGCTGAGATCTTGGTTTTTACCTCTATGTGAGCAGTATAGGGTTTGAACAGTTCTCAAAAGTAGGAATAACTATGATTGTAACAAGCTGTAAGAGACTAAAGTGGTAGAGCAAGATAAGGAAATTAAACTCAAAACAACTTCTGTTCACTTCTGTATAGCAGGTTCCTCATTCCATACATTGACATCCAGAAACAAACAGGATTTATCTGTCAAACTTCACCATATTGGAAGTTACATGAATTTTGATTCCAGTACCTTACAGGTGGAGTAGATGTAAAATATTTTTTTCAAGCTAAACTTCAATGTGAGCCTTATTGTATAACTCGGGTGGGTCTTCGGATCTGCCACATACCGCAATTTATGTCTAATCCTCGAGCTGGTTACTGCATTTCATTTTCTTATACGATTACATGGTTACACCTTACTAAGTTACTATAGATCACTGAACTTTGTTGGCGGGTGGTATCCTCTTGTTGTCTATCAGCATATGTCTTCAAATCGCAAGTAGTTCGCACTCAGGAATACGGGAAATGCTTGAGGAGTTCCTTAGCAAATGGGTTTACGAGGATGGGCACTATATCCTTAACGATGCTGATGCAAGCACAAGCTTCGTTAAAGGATTTGATGGGAAAATATTCTTGGACGTCAATGACTATATGGAAGTTGTTGAGCTGTATACCTTGACTGTTCTTGGAAAGATTTCAGAAGATGTGGACCTAGCCATCTCATGGCTCGAGAAAGCTGCACTGCCCGAGGAAAGAAGACAGGTAACTGATGTCACACCATGTTCATTCCTCGTTACAATGTAACAGCTCGGTTCCAAACTTCTCTGTTAACTCGGATAATCAGTTCTGAAGTAACATATTTTCTTCAACCATCTGTTTCAGGAGCTTTCCAGAAGATTGCATTCTTTGTTATCCCTCAAGACCACAAACATTTCACAAGGCTCACCATTGTTGCAAGCTAAGCAAGAGGCTAGCTCTTTTGTGGAAGATCCAGTTGCGTCCAAGGAATCTTGTGACGCAGAGAACAAAAAACGCCTTCCAAATGAAGGGAAGAACGACATTTACACACTCCTCAAGCTCTCGAAGCAACACAAACCATCTCTTTGGTCATCTCGACCTCTAAACCTCAATCTTGGCAATACCCAGTTGACAATATCCAAGGGAAAAATCACCATAACCCTTGTCGTCTTCATCATCTGTTATGCTCTGAGGAGGAAACGGGTCGCTCTGATGAGGTAAAATCGTCTTTCTGTAAGCAATTCTCATCGAGTCATGCACTGAATAACTCGTTATTTTTATTCTCTCGGTTCAGGGCGCTCGGTAGAAAAATGGGATCGATGAAAAAAGCGTTATTAGATTTCTGGCAGCTCGCGTTTTCTTACCAGGTGAACCCTCTCGCGGCTGTTCAACCGCTCCCTAACCGCAGAACGTGAGACAGTTATCGCCAAGATTCTACTCGAAATCGTGAACTCGAAAAGGAAAGAAAAAAAGAGTTACTCTGAAAAACAAGCACAATGTTGAGGGATATGTGATTTTGAATCTTCCTCAAAGTAGGGAGAAGTGGCTGAAAAATGTTTGTATCCTCATCTTTTGTGGTAAAAGTAAAACAATAAGAGAATCTCTCCTACGAGGTTCCGAACTATTGAATAAACAATTTTCGTAACTTGATTTTACATGAAATAATATATAACTAATAACAGAATTTCTCCAGATGTTTATTTACAGGAAGTTGTAACTAAACTTGTGTAACTGCAGTCAAAGATGCCATGGAAAAAAACAAAAAACTGTGGTCAAAGACAGAAATCTGAATCAACATTGAATTTGATATATAAATATGATTTTTTTAAAACAAAAAACCGAACCGAAGATTTAAAATAACCAAAAAACCGAGAATTATTTAGAAAATAAATATTTTTCTCGATAAGAACCGAATTTGGAAAACAAAATCGAATATTCTAACACAGAAAAACTAAAGCCGAAAACAACCAAACCAAATTCGTCTCGAATTGAATTCAAACCCGAACCCAAACCAACACCGAAACCCGAAATGTTAACCATTATAGAACCGGGCAGGGAAAAAGGATATAGCTGTGGATGACTAAAAAAAACACAAAAACATGACAGAAGACAGGAGACAAAAAAAAAACAGGTCAGAGTCAAAAGAGAATAACTCTCAAGTTGTGTAATGGTTTTGCTAATATTAGCAGATTTCAACGCTTGCATTCAAACCCCAACGAAGCATGTTAATATATACACACCAACTCCATTAGACAGAAAGCCAGTGGAAAGGAAGAAAAAGAAAAAACCAGACAAGAACCACTTCAAGAAGAGAGGAAGGGGAAGAAGAAGAAGAAGAAGAAACATTGGGAGAAGGCTATGAAGAGAGAAATGGTGAGAAAGAACACAGAGAGAAGAGAAGAAGGCATCGCAGTAGCGATTGATCGAGACAAAGGAAGCCAAAACGCTTTGAAATGGGCGATCGATAACCTTATAACCCGAGCCCAGACCCTTACTCTTGTTCATGTCAGAGTCAAACACGTTCCTACTCCTCCCTTCTCGGGTAAATGACCACAGCGAAAACCTCTGTTTCAGAAATGGTGTTTAGTTCAAATCATCAAAATATGCTGTACCGATTTGTTTAGGGAGATCCCGCCCTAAAAATGAACTTCATCGAGAGAATCTGTGTACCTTTTAAGAGGTTGTCTGATCTGTAATGTTCTGTTTGTTTGTTTGTTTTTGCAGGATCCACACCTAGTGCTAAGCATGGGGACGACGTGAAGGATTTGTTTCTTCCATTCCGCTGCTTTTGCGCCCGAAAGGATGTGGGTTTTTCGCTCCATCTTGCTTCTTACCACCATATCTTCACTTCCTGCTCTCTTTGTTTCTGCAGAATGATTTGAGGGTTAATTTTTCCTGAAACAGATAAACTGCGAAGACGTCATCTTGGACGACGTCGATGCATCTAAAGGTTTAATCAACTACGTGACTGAGAACACGATTGAAACTCTAGTACTCGGTGCATCTAAGACCAATCTATTAAGGTAGTTTTTCAAAAGCTAACTAGTTTTCCAGATTGAGCTAAGAGAAAAAATGTAATATTTCTTTTCTCGAAACTGCCTCTCAAACATGGTCAATCGTGAAAACTAAAAGGTAGTTTGGAAAATTATGTTTCCTAACCAAAAGGAATGGAAAAAAAGTCACAAGAATAAGCCATATTTGGTCCTTCCTGAGGTTTTATACAGAGAAATGCTCTGATGACAATAATCTAAAAGACTATATATAACCCAAACTGCATTATGTTCCCTTTGACAGGAGGTTTAAAGCACCAGATGTCCCAAGCTCAGTCATGAAAGGGGCACCAAATTTCTGTACAGTATATGTAATTTCTAGAGGGAAAATCTCGTCAGCAAGACCAGCTACATGTTCACCTCCGAGACCCCTAGTACCACAACAACAATTACAGACTCAGCCTAGAAACAGGGCCGACATTGGCTACCCCAAGCCTTACACTAATGCTAGAGGTTCGGTTCTTTGACATTATCGGGATTTAGTTTCCAACTTGTGCCATTACCTTCACCGGTAAAAGCAAAAGAGACAAAAAAAATAATAATAAAGGGTTTACATTGCTACATGATCTAAGTTATTTTCATATGGCAGCTGATAGGAGACAACAAGCACCGCAAAGAATGCAGGATGAGATGGAGATCAGGTGTGTTACCGATAACCTAATTCATTTGTATCTCCTTTCTAATGCTTGTCGACTTCATAATCAATGATGGGATTAGCAACCCGAAAAGGTGAAACCGATAATATAACCACATTATGAGTGTCTGAAAGAGTTTCTAAGTGGTGCAATGTGTATATATCAGCCTTCCCATTCATTTGAATTGAGAATCTCTACAAGTTTCTTTGTGGGTCATTGTGTAAATCATCTGCTGTCACCTATCACCATATGCTACTACCTACCCATCCAAGACATATTAAACCACGCTGAATTGGATTATTGATGGACTAACTAGTTAACGACCAACTGCAATAGGTCTGTATTCAGCAGAAGGGGATATGAAGGCACTTACCAGCCCTTAATAATGGATTCCGACATATCATTTGTGAGCAGTGGAAGACCGAGCGTGGATCAGATGTTTCCGGCCTTTTCTGACAATCTGGATGTTGGATTGACTTCCATTCAGCTCTCAAACTGCAGCTCTGAGTTCGATGAAGGCAGATGGAGCAGATCGGGATTAACTCCCACCCGACTCTCAACAAGCTCTGAGTTCGAAGACAACAAACGCGGCAAACCCATATTGACTCCAACCCGGCTCTCAACAAGCTCTGAGATTGAAGACAACAGATGGGGCAAACCACCCGTTTTCACTCCGACCCGACTCTCAACCAGCTCTGACCATGAAGACAACAGATGGAGCAAAGCTGGAATAACTCCGACCCAGCTCTCAACCAGCTCCGAGTGCGAAGACAACAGGTTGAGCTTCACTGCATCCTACACTTCTGAAAACCAATCAATAGATCTCTCGTCATATCCAGAATTCTCGTCAAGCTCGCTAGAAAGCGGGGCAGTCTCATGGTCAATCCAGAGCCTGGTAAGGATATGCAGAGCTCAGAGCATTATTTTTAGTTTGTACTGGCCTGCAATAAGGAAGGATTATTTATTAATTTAAAATCTGACAGGATGAGGTTGAAGCTGAGATGAGAAGGCTGAAACTGGAGCTCAAGCAGACAACAGACATGTACAGCAATGTCTGCAAGGAAGCAGTCGCTGCAAAGAAGAAGGTAGTCTTTTGCTAAGATTTACAACTTCTTTACCAGTCCAAACGGTCATTTCATTGTGCAGGAAGAAAAAAAACGTAAAAGAAGTTCACAACCAAAGCATGGCAGAACTGTCTTCTTATCTGTACCCAGCATAAAATCTGATTTGTATCTTTCCAGGCTACAGAGTTACACCAATGGAAAGAAGAGAAGACTCAGAAACTAGAAGAGGTAAGACTTGCCAAAGAAGCAGCACTAGCATTGGCTGAGAGTGAGAAGTCAAAGTGCAGAGCAGCCATAGAGGCTGGGGGG